AGGTTAAAACTAATTGCAACATAAGTTGCAACATTAAAAGTTGCAACATATTAATTACAGTTCCCATCTTTAGTTTTGACAGTTTCAGAATAAAGATGCTAGCCGAAACTTCCTCAAAATAATTTCGTCATATCCCTTACTATGTTTTTAATATAGTTTCAGCTAATTTTGGGTTTCAGAGTTTCGTCATACCCCTCACTATGTTTTAATATAGTTTTGGCTGTTTATTAATTGCCTTTTTTGAGTTTCGTCTCTCATCTTTAAATAAAATAATAAGATTATTTTGCTTTTAAAGATTTCTGATTTTTGTTAGATTAATATTATACTTTCATTCTGTTTTCTTTTTTTTAATGTTATTATTTTTTTTTTTTGATAAATTTCATAAATAATCCTTTTCTTTTTTTAGATAAGCTTCAAATATTTGAATATCACTTAATTTGAAAATATAAGAGCAATTTTTTTTACATATTTTTTTTTCAAAATACTTCTAATAGTATTATATATAATTCTTGGATTTTATTGTAGATCTGATGTAAATGAGTTTCATTTTAACTATTTTTATATAGGATAGTTCTATATATTACTAAACAAATAGAATATTATTAATATAAAACTTATTGTAATGATAACTAAATTTTTATACAAATGTTCATTTTATCTGATTTTATTACAGCATGTCCTATTTAAAAGTTGGTTAATTTTATAATTTTTATTATATAAATAATATATTTATAATTTTTATAAATATAAAATATTTGAAATTAAAAATAAATTATTTATTTAAATTTCTTATTAATTTTTTTTTATATTATATTAATAATAGCAAATAAATTTTTATTTAAACTATATGATTATATTTCTCTAAAAATTATATTTAATTACTTTGATAATCAAATTTTTAATCTATAATAATTTTAAAAATTTATATAATCCTTAAATAGTTATTTATTAAAATTTTTAAATTTGTAAAATCTTTATTATAATGTGTTTTATTTAGTTTAAATCTTAATAATTAATTTGGATTACTATACAAATTTTATTCTATAATAATAATATAAACTCAAAAATTTAAAAGATTTTAAAGGTTATGTAAATAATTAAATAATAATACAAAAATATCTGTAAAGATACTTTTATTTATAAATTATCTTTTAATATTTTCAAATATATAATCTGAAAAAAATAATTTATATCTTTGCTTCTTTTTTTTTATTTTTATATTTACCTAGATAATTATATTTATTATAATATTATAAATATAATAAAAATTTAAAACTTGAAAAAAAATCTTTATTATATTTATTATATCTATAAATATTATTAATAATTTTAATTTAATTAAATTGTTAAGAATTTAACTTCTTAAATAATATTTTAACTATTTGTTACACTTAAAAGTTTGTTGATCATGATTTTTATCACAATATAAATATTTTTAATATATAAAGTCAAAATATATAATTTTTTTTTTTGATTTGACATTATTACTAAATATAATAAAATTAAATTTATATTAACTAATATTTAAAACTTTATGTAATCTTTATATAATTATTATTTTTAATTTAAAAAGTTAATAAAATAAAATATTACTTAAGTTTATATTATATTTATAATTTGTTTTTAAAATTTTATATTTTTGTTTTTACTAATAGTTTTTTAATAAAAAATAAATTTGTAGCTTATTTCTTATTAATAGTTTCTTAGAAAAATGCTTTTATAATTTTAAAGTTTTATATAATATTTTTTTTTAATAAAAATGTTTTTAAAACTATAAATATTTTTTTTAAAGAAGAAGTATCATTATATTTTTTATTAATAGTTTTTAGTAAAAATCTTTCTAAAGTTTTAGATATATTTTTTACTAATGTTTTCTTAATTAAAAATGTTTTAAAGAGTAGTAAATATATTTTTTTTACTAATAATATTCTATAAAATATAATTAAAATTATATAGACTTTTTTTTAATAAACTTTTTAGTTAATATAATCTTGAAATTTTAAGTATATTAACTAATATTTCTTAATAATTATATTATTTAAAATTTTTTTCTTAATATATTTTAATCAAACTAAATATTTGATTTGATTTGATTTGAAAAATTAAATATAAAATCAATTCAAATTATTTTAATATTTAATTTGATTTGAATTTTTTAAAATTTAATTATTAGATAGAAAAAACATTTTTTTTTAGCATTTTTTTATTATTATAGGATAATTAATATTTATAATTTTTTATAAATTTTACAAATATATTATTATATATACTAAGGAATGGTATCACCGTTGTGAAGTCTGGAGCTTAAGATCACATGAATTAATTATGTCAATATTATTGAATATGTCATTACGTCTAATAAAAATAAATACAACACATTTTAGGAAGAATTTATTAAATCTATCGCTATGTTGCGGGCAGTTTCTTTTTTAGGAAAATGTATCATAGTATTTATAAATAGCCGATATTCGTCGTCTCAAATGATAAGCAGGCGGACAAACGGACACAATGCATAGAAAGTAATTAGTCTTTTGCTAAAGCTCCGGACTAATTATATTTTTAATAAAGTTATCTTTAATTATATATTGAAATTTTCTATTATAATTTTATTAATAAAGAACTAGTTTTTATAAGTTAAATAATAACTTCTTTAAGTATTTTTATAAAAGAAAAAGAAAAAAAAATTAATTGATTATAATCTAAGTAGTTTATAATTGTTATATATATATATTATTAAATAAAAAAATATTTAAATATATTATATTATTTAAAAAAATTTCTTATAAATTATATTATAAAGAAAAGAAAAAAAGTTTTTAAAGATTTAAGATCATTTGTTTTATAAAAAATGAAATAATATTGATTAAGTTATTAACATTTAAATTTTTAACTAAAATTATATTTTAAAATATGAAAAATTATAGCAATACTCTCATTGAATTACTATAAGCTAACAGAATTACTATATAATTAACTGAATTAATTATTACAAATATCATTAAATAAATGTATTATATATAAAAATAAAAATTCAAACTAATCAATTACTATTAAAATATATTCTTAAAGTTTCCAATATTATGATATTTCTATTATCTCAGAAAGTTGATTTAAAAAAATCTTAAATATTATTTTATTATTTTTTTTTTTTTTGCGATATGGAGAATTTGATCCTATTTCTTGCATATATGAATATATTATATACTAAATATTTACATATTTAATCTTTACAAAAAACAATTACATCACCTTTTCTTCTCCAATCATCAATAAAATGAGAATTAAAAAATCTTGCACACTAAATAAAAATATTTATATTAATATAAAATGAATTTGCTTTTGCTTTTGCTTTAAATATCAAAGATGACTTACTTCTTTATAATCGGAATCTTTTAAAAAGGGAGTTAAATCATTTAATAAAGCTTCGAAAATTACCAAATAATTTGGCCATTTACGAAGTTTTGAATCAATATATTTTTCAGATGATGGTGATATTGAATGAAAATTTTTGATGAGGAATTCATGTGGATTAGCATAAAATTGATCAGCCTCATCAACATAATTAACTTGGTCCCTACAAAAATAAAATAATAATAATGAATTTTTTTTTTTAATAAAAAAAAACACATCAAACGCGTCATAAGTTAAATAAAATTATATCTGACCTATTTAAGGGAGGATCACAAGTTAAGTAAAACATAGATACATTAAAATGCAAATTACTATAAAATGGGGTAGAATGACAAGGCATCAAAAATCCAATTTCACGAACTTTCCCCAATTCAGCTTCATTTCTTAAATAATTCATAACATCCACAACACCACGTTGATGTACGAAATTAGTGTAATAAGCCACTGGTACATTGGTAAGGACCAAAAAAATCACTACTATTCTTATTTTCTTTTGGTACTTTAAAGAAATTTCTTGTAAACAATATCCCGCACAAATGATCATTATAGGTAACAATGGATATATAAACCGAAATTCTTTATGACTTAATAAACTATAACAAAATATTACAAATGCCATTAACCAGATTAATGTTTTAATGGATTGGTGATGAACAAGGTGATTGTTGTTGATCAAATCATATATGCCTTTGAATACGAATGGCATTAATGTGGTGGTTATGAATGGCATCCCCTGTGATAAATACCAATGCCAAGGATGTGAACCATAAAACAATGAAATTGATTGTACCACGTTAACATATAAAAATTTCATAGGTACAAAAACAACTTCACCATAAAATGTATAGTCAGTCAAGGTCATGGCCAAAATCGAAAGAACCCTAAAAATATTGTGATTACAACAATTAGATTTATATTGACTTAAAGAGAACGCCATCTTAAACTTACGTGATAAACAGGGTGTTTAAGATAATGGAATTGAGATGCTCTTTTGTGTTCCATAATAAATGTATGCCGAGGAATCCCCAGATAATAGCATTAGTTGGGCGAAGGATACAACAAACCGCTGCTAAACTTAGTGAAACGCGTAATATCCTGCATAAACAAATATATAAATTATGATTAGTAAATTATGATTAACATGCGCAATTCTGATTGCCTCATAGGTAATTACTTTATTCGGTCATTCCAACTTATTAAATTTGAAAAGGTGGGCCATGGCCAATAATATAATGCTATAATGGTAAGTACTGTTTCAATGCTATTAGATAACGTCCTTATTGAACAAAAGAAATTGAACCAAGAAATGATAGAACAAAATAGCTAAATTAAAAATTACGCGTTATGATTATAGGGTAATATAATAGAATTTAGGACGGATGGTTTATTATTTGGTAGAAAATAAGGATACAGTCCAATTTGCTGTTGGATCGTTAAATAATTTCCTCGCTAATCGATAAGTATAAAAATCTCCAATGGCTGCAAATATTGCTTGAAAAATTCTTGGAGCATATATCTAGTTATAATGCAAGTTATAAGTATGTATAATATATGCTTCGAATTGTATCATTTGAATTTAAAATGAATCAATTCTTGTATTACGATATTACAAGCAAATATCCTTTGTCGAGACCGAAAAATGCCAAACTTTCATAAAGTATTGCGAATAATAGAGGGTGAGCAATGCTTCGAATCTTTTCTTTCCATTCCCAAGTCAAATATCCATACGTAAGATTTTTATTAAGAAATAATATAATGCATTACAAAAAAAAAGAACTAAAGAAATTTTAACGCTGTTTAGGATATCCAAAAACCATATAATGACCAACTTCAACTGATTGCCAATATTCATCGGGATTGAAATATGTCTTTGTACATATAGCATTTATTATCCTGAATAAAATCAAAATACTTAATAACAAAGTTTGATTAGCAAATGATTTTAATGACGACTTTTCTTCAGCAAAATTCTCATTATTTTCATATGATTTTAATAATTTCTTTTCGTTGGTACTAGTAGCATTTTTACGTCGTTGTAATTTATTCATGTTTAAAACATAACTTTAAAGATGATCATCCAATTATATTCAACCAACTTTTCAAATCCTAGATTGAAATTTCGATTTAAATATAAAACCTTAATTTTTGAAATTTGAAATTTTGATTTTTTTTTTGTGAAAAAACATTTCAAGATGGCTTCAGCTATATTTGCGTTAGATCTTAAAGGAAAAGTCCTTATATCGCGAAATTATCGTGGTGATATACCAATGTCTGCTGTTGAGAAATTTATGCCACTTGTGCTAGAAGCTGAAGAAGAACAACAAGCCCCAACTCCTTGCTTTACGCATGAAGGTGTAAATTACCTATATATACGACATAATAATTTGTACTGTATCCTTTATCGAGAAACACTTGCCTATATTTTATATGGGTTGAATTGGAACCTTTTTCTGGATATAATAACGCAATAATTTACGAATTCAATCCAAATCATATGAATGAAGTTGCTCTTAACTGAATAAACGAATAAATGAATATTTGAATATTCATAATAATATTTTATTTATTTTATTTTCCTTCACAAAATTTATATATTTTATTCTGAACAGTGTTGGCTTTAACAAAGAAGAATTCAAATGCTACAACTATTCTTTTATTCCTTCATAAATTAACGGAGGTAATCATCAGATTTTATCAAGATCAATTTCTCATTAAACATTTTGTTTATTTCTTATTTTTTTATTTTATTTTATTTTTTTTTTTTAAATATAATAGGTGTTTACAGAATATTTTAAGGAACTTGAAGAGGAATCAATTAGGGATAATTTTGTAATTATTTATGAACTTTTAGATGAAATGATGGATTTTGGATATCCACAAACAACCGAAACAAAAATATTACAAGAGTAAGCAATAATTATTCTTAATTTTTTTTAAAAAAGGGAGGGGAATAAAAAATAGACTAATAGAGTTTTGTTGATTTATAAAAAGGTATATAACCCAGGAATCACATAAATTAGAAATTCAAGTAAGACCACCAATGGCGGTTACAAATGCAGTATCTTGGAGATCAGAAGGAATAAAATATAAGAAAAATGAAGTATTTTTAGATGTAATTGAATCAGTAAATTTATTAGTTAATGCAAATGGAAATGTATTACGTAGTGAAATACTTGGAGTGATTAAGATGAAATGTTATTTAAGTGGCATGCCAGAATTAAGATTAGGATTAAATGATAAAGTTATGTTTGAAAGTACTGGACGTTCTGCTTCAAGAGGAAAAGCTATTGAAATGGAAGATGTTAAATTTCACCAATGTGTTAGGTTATCAAGATTTGAAAATGATCGTACTATTTCTTTTATACCCCCTGATGGTGAATTTGAATTAATGAGTTATCGATTGAACACGCAGGTAATGTTAAGATTTCCAAAAAAAAAAAAAAACTTTGAAGAACTTAACTGATGGGATATATTATTGATTAGGTTAAACCCTTGATTTGGGTTGAAGCTCTTGTAGAAAGTTATACTGGTTCTAGAATAGAGTATATGATTAAAGCCAAGGCTCAATTTAAAAGACGTTCTACAGCCAATAATGTTGAAATACATGTTCCCGTGCCCGATGATGCCGATTCTCCAAAATTTAGAGTAAGAAAATTAAATTAAATAAATTAATTCTAATTAAATTTTTATTAACACTTTTTCTTTAAATTATTCATTTTAGAGTAGTATTGGATCAGTTCATTATGCTCCAGAAAAATCATGCCTTGTATGGAAAATTAAACAATTTCAGGGTGGAAAAGAGTTTTTAATGAGAGCTCATTTTGGGTTACCTTCCGTTAAAAATGGTAAGTATTGGGAAAAAGTATTATCTTAAGAGTTACATTCTCAAATATTTGATTTATTAAAAAAAAAAATGTAATAGTTGATGATCCCGACAAAAAACCACCTATCGGAGTAAAATTTGAAATACCATATTTTACAACTTCAGGTATTCAAGTACGATATTTAAAAATTGTTGAAAAAAGTGGTTACCAGGCTTTACCTTGGGTTAGATATATTACACAAAATGGAGGTAAATATAATCAACCATTTTTGATTTATTGTTTTAAGTATTTTAAGTTCATACTTATTTAAAAAAATTTATTTTAGATTATCAATTACGTTTACCAGAAAGTATTAAAAATAACAAAATGACTCCTATTTAAAAGGGAATAAAGTTTTATAAGGGTAGATTTGATATTAGGGTAATGCATAGAGATTGTATTAAAGTAATTTTATTTATTGATAAATCACGAACTCTATTTTTTTTTCAGTATATAGTGCTTAATTTTTGGCTTTTACATAAATTCTAGCAAAATATTAACATAACGATAATGAAATTCAACATCTATTAAAGATTTTCCATTCATACGATCATAAATTGTTCGTGTAACAATTGTTCGTATCCAACATTGTGTGACCATAGTCGCGTAAAACGTCATAAAATAAATTATAAAATTGTTTCCAAAACTTGTCTGTGCTACGGCAAACGTTACTTGATTTTAAGTTCAGAACCATTATTCATAGATATCATTTATGAATCTTTGTGAATTATATGACTAGCATGACCACCATTGTAATTTATTTCAAAAGTATTGGCAGTGTTGTCATGGTGGGAGACATTGAATTTAGTGTGAGACAGTTTAAAATGCTTGACATTTGAGACATAGAAAACTTACATTATTTTTTACAATGCTATCTTAGACGGTCTCGTGAATCCTTTTAACGAAAATACTGTTACTTGCATGACAATTCACGAACTACGTTCGGTCTGGTATGGATGGTTTTGCGCAAATCCTTACATAGAATCACAATAAAAAAACCTTTTCATATAAATTACACGTTATGGCGTCATTTTATTTCGCGAAATTTGATTGACCAAAATGTTGTTACACGTGTAATCCTTTAAGCACTGCCTCCTTCGAAGGAAGTTTTTTTTCTCACCCTTTCTACAAGGAAGATTTTATTTTCACCCTTCCTTCTAGGAAATTTACAAGGAAGATTTTTATTTCACCCTTCCAACGCCTTAAATGGGCGTTTATACCCTTACACGTTAGTGTTTTGCTCCCCTGCTGTGAAGGGTCACAGCCCGTCCTACTTGAAGTTTTCCTTCCGGATTTATTCGGTTCCCTTTTCTTCTCGAGGGTTTAAATGGGTCATGGTAACTTATTGCTAGAAATCAGAATTTAAAAATTTTATCGTTTTCATTGTTTGCAGTTTACAAAATTATTTTGTCTCCAATTTTAGATTGTCGATCTTTTTTGAAAAGAAAGTTTTATATGAATATTTCGATACGTTTATGTTCAAAATGGGGTTCTGAGACATTTTTTAAAAAATTGAAATTTTTGATACATATTAATCTATAACTTATAAACTTTAATT